TTATATTTTAAGTGGCATTTAATAGTTTTCCCTTCGTTGCTACTATATAATGGTCATAGAAAAATTTTAGAAAGTATAGGAAAAGAAAATATTTGAAACTGCCTTGAAACTGTTTATGTTTGTGCCTGTCTCTTATCTCTATCTTCATGTCTAATTTGCGTATATGCATGTGATGAAACATATATAAAGGTCTCAAAGTATTTCCTGATTTCAGGTTTTTATAATAAGTTTAAAACATAAAGAAGAAACTGTATGAAAAATATAGGTCAACTTGACTCTAGTTTAGAAAAAATAACATTAAAGAGACAAACTAGGAAACATTTGTTACTACATCATTCTAATTTCCGCATTCCTTCATTAGCAGTTAGAACATGTAATAATGCCTGCTCAAATGTTTTCTTGTTAATCATTTTACTTATTTTTCTTAATGCAGATTAGAAGCATTTACTGTAAGTAAAAACCCCATGTTAGCTTTTACTTTCAGCTAGCTCTGCCTTAAAACCTGGATCTACACTGACCTGATAAAATAACATGATAATTTATTGATATCAAGTGTACATAAGTAGAAAGTGGGCAGCAAAGAGGAGGGCCACAGCCAGCGCTGCTACCTTGCAAACTGGACTGTCCGCCCTTTTCTCTCAGAGCCTTAGAAGTGTATGTACACGGAGGGTGAGGGTGCTGACTTTCAGCATTTCGCATTAAAGGCCCACCGAGCGGGTGGTGCTGGTTGTGGAGAGCTGAATCCTCTCACTGGGGGACTCTTAGTTCTATGGTACCTGCTGCTGGAGTGTCTCAAGGAGCGAATGTGAAAGTGGGTGAAAGCATCATACAAGCAAAGAACAGCATTGCACATGCAAGCAATGATGGTTGTATTTGTGACTTTTATCCTTGTAGCTTCCTGTGTTCATCACTCTGGCTATTCCCCCACTGCCTTTCTTCTCCAGCCTAACGTTAAAGTCCTTTAAGTTTTCATACTGTTAAGCAGTTATACTGAACTACTCAGCAGTAGTTACAGTACTATCAAGTTTAAACAGAGTCATTGTAATTATTGCACGTCTTTACCAAGTTAGACACATTTATCTGCCCTTCTGGTTACCAGTTTCTAAGACTACTGTGTTATCTTAAGCAAGGAGAGACTTAATATTCTGAGTGTCCTAGAACATATGTGAGGAGGTCTCATTGTCTGTTTTCTACTACCCATTAGATTGTTTTCAGAGGGGCTGGGGATTTAGCTCAGCGGCAAAGAGCCTGCCTGGCAAGTGCAAGGTTGTGAGTTCAATTCCCAGTACCGGAGAAAAAACCAAAACCAAAAAAAAAAAAAAGAAAAGATTGTTTTCAGAATGCTAGATAATATTTAATGCTAGTAAAAAAATGTGAAATACAGCAATTAATTTTTCTTTTACTTTTTCCTCAACCTTTTCATGTTTGAGTAAATTGCATAAACTAGGTGAAAACCTCGAGATAGAAAGTAGTTGTTGATGATCAGCAGAAGCATTATTAAAAATCATTAGAAAAAATTTTAGGTTGGGTTCTCTTTTGATATCACTGCCAAGCTGGTTTAAAGAATATGCAGGAAAAAATGTTTTGGTGTTATTAGAGTATTTTTTGGTTGCCGTCGCCTGATGAAAGGAAATGTAAGTAGAAAAGCTTGTACCTAAGGATGCTCAGCTTTTAACAAAAGGTCATAATAGTGGTTGCCTATACTTTTCTTTTAACTGAGTGTAAAGAGATACTTTTTTAAAAATTTCAGATCAGCAATTTAGTTTAGCAGTAAAGCCCAGAAGTTACTTGTTTGACTGCAGTGTTAGTCTAAGTGGAGTTTACTGGTGTTTTTCTGTAGTTGTATTAGCTGAATGGTTTCTAGACCTTTGTTTGGATTTTGTGTGCCTGTTTAAAAACTAACTAGAGAGCCCCCTCTAGTGTCGGAAATAGCCGTTCCTAAGACATTCTGTCAATCATAGACCATTTCAAGAATTAAACTTCGTTTTTCTTTCACATTTGGGAATAAATTTTTTTCTTTTCTGAGGACAGGGCATTACTTTTCTCTTTTCAAAATATTATGGAATTATGGGTAGAGCATGAATTGAGGACAGTAAAAAGTATGGAAAAGAAAGGATCAAAATAGCATTTCTACCTTCTTAGGAATCATTGTTTTTAAATGATTTGGAATAAGGCCAAACTATACAGTGTTTCAGTTTTTTGTTGTTGTTGTTGTTTTAGTTTACAGCTGTTTCTGAATTATGTGAAATTTAAAAACACTTCATTTTGGAATTACTTTTGCTGTCAGATCTCATCTTTAAAGAATTCTTTCCAGTATCTGAATTGGAAAACAGCATTACAGTAGAGCCTGATTTTCTTCATGGGAGTGTTCTGGGTTGTCTGTTACTATACTTCTGGTATCCTTCTGTGGATAAACTTTGTATTTTGTGTTCTAATGGCTCCCGTTGTTTTTCACCCAAACAAGTAAGAGATTCTTAAATTACTGGCTCTCTGCCACCTCTTTCCTCCAAACACACACCTCTCAGACACGCAAGCCTTTAGCACAGAATCCTGTGAAGGGTTACAGAAACAGGGCCTTTCTCATTTGACCCATTGGCCTCTAGCTTGAACAAGGAGAGTAGTGTTCCAAAAACTACGGCCTTTATGGAGGCTTTGGTAAAAATATTTCATGTACATGGACTGACGATTAACTCCTTTCATCTTGTTCTCTGACAAATTAAACAATGAAGAGAGATTTCAAGTGCATTCTTGATAATGAGATGCTTGGGTGAATTATCATCCTAATTGCTATTGTTCATTTTCACAGCTGCATTTTGACACTTTTAACTGCCTAAGCCACGCATTCTTCAGCCACCAGGATAAACAAAAGCATTCTGAAGTCCATCATTTTATGGCATCTTAAATTGCAAATAGGTTATTGGCTGCCTTGGTTTTATTTTGGGTCTTTTGTTTATAAAATTAGCAGGAAATACTTGTTTACATTTATACATACAATTATTGTCAATAGAATCATTGCTGTATTTATTCATTAATAGTCTTAAACTTTAAACAGGCAGTAGAGATTATGGATTTATTTTAGTTCAAAAGAGATAATTTATTACTTTATCAAACTAGTTGATATTTTAGGAAGGACCTTTCTCCAAGCTTTGAAAGAACAATACTGGGATTTCACTTTTCTTCCTTAGAACAGTATTCTGAGTATAAATCTTGAAGGCAGATTTCCTTAGTGACTTAACAAGTCATATGTATATGTCATTGTTCTTTTAAATTTGACCCAAACTTGTTTATTAGTCTTTTCCCTAAAGTTTAAAGAACTTGAAGGGATCACAGTAAATTTGAAATTTATATTTAGGAGATTTGAATACCAGTTTCAACCAAGTTGTCCTGGTTTAAAAAGGGAACATTTTCATGATTAAAATTCCAGATAGCAAACAAGGAGGGAGGTATATAAAAGTAACAGCTACTCAGTTCTGGGGTTTTTTTTCACTATTTTTAAAATTAATTTTAAGTGGAAGATTTGAATTACCATATTCACAGGCACCTGTTATATCAATTGTTCAATAATAATTGGAGCTTTAGACATCAGATGAATACTACTGTACTATGTCACTTTTTCTCAGTATTTCTTTATGCCTTCTCAGAATATCTTTGAATTCTCAAATTGATAAAGCATGACAGATTACACTTTAACAGCCAGCTATTTTGCCATCTCATGTCTTAATCTTAAGGTATTTGTTCAAACCTAATTCTTTCTTATTAAATATGTAACTTTCAGGGTTATCCTAGTAGATGGTTGTTATTATATTCAGTAATAATAGCTAACATTTATTGCACGCGTCCTATTTGTTAGACACTGTGTTAAATAACAATTACCATATGCTGTCCTTTGAGTATTACTTTTATTTGTTAGCATTTCACATTTGAGGACACTGAGACTAAAATAATTAAAGTAATTTTGCCAAAAGTCACAAAAGAAGAGATTGGAATCAGATTTTTCTGACTCCTAAAGCCCATGTTCTTGGCTATCACTGAAGCCTTAAGTGAAAGGTGTTTTTTATTTTGTTTTTTTGAGATGGTCTCACTGTGTAGTGCAGGCTGGCCTTGAACTTGCTTATGAGCCCAGGCTGACCTCTAACTTATGGCAATCCTCCTGCCTCAGCCTCCCAAGTTCTGGGATTATAGGCGTGCACCACCACATCCAGCTGCTTGAGTGAAAATTAAACATCACATAATCTCCTAATGAAATATTATGTAGCTTAAAAGTGGGGATAACAATGACTATGCAATGACATAGAAAACGTATCTGATGCAATAAGTGAAAAAGGAAACCCAATGCGTGCCTGTAAACCTATTATTTTGGGAGGCTGAGGCATGAGGATCACAAATTGGAGCCCATCTTGGACAACTTGGTGAGATCCTGTCTCAAAAAATAAGCTAGAGGTGTAGCTTTGTGTGAAGGCCCTGGGTTCAATCCCGAGGACTGAAAGAAAAAAACAGAAATGTAAGTAAGCGTTCATGGTGGTTCTAAGCATTTGTGGAGTACCTTTTTATCATTCTTTTTTTTTAAATATGTGTAATATTCAGCTGTTATATTATTTTGCTTAATCTACAGAATTTATGTAAGCAGGAAACATAAGCTTGCGTGTAAAACCAAGTCTGGTCAGGAAACTGACAACTTAGTTTCATAATAGATTCTGCCTGTTCAGTTTCCTTTTTAATTTGACCCAAAGCCGTTTTTTTACTGGACTTAAGCCAGCACTAATATAATCTCTCATCTGTATTCTTAAAGGCTAATGGAATAGTAAAATCTTCTTTAAAATAACTTAAATGTGTTATACAGTGTCCTTGGGGTAGCTTGTGCACAAAAGGTGTTTTCTTTCCCACCCTATAGAGGTAGCTCATTAGGACACCCAGTAGTGTCATTATTAAGTTTTCATGTGTTTCTCAGTTTTGATGCTAATCTTTGTGCGTATGTGCATGCATCTTTTTTTTCTCTGCAGCACCAATGTGGTTATGAATTATTCAGAGATTGAGTCTAAGGTTCGAGAAGCAACGAATGATGATCCTTGGGGACCTTCTGGGCAACTCATGGGAGAGATTGCCAAGTAAGTGATAATTTGACTCAGCAGTGCAGAAAGAATCAAAGTATCTTGACACAGAAATACCAAGTTTGTTTTCAGTTTTAAACTGTTCAGCTGCCAAATACAAATTTTGCATAATCATTCACATAGTATTACAGAAAGTTTAATGTAAAGTTCATTCCCCTTAAAAAGTAGTTCAAAAGAAAAACAATTTTTCTTTTTCAGTGATGTTTACATACTTACTGTAAACTGACTTTCATGTAAATTTTGAAGAATGCTCTTCATGAGCATTTGGCCACTGTGTTAGGAAACTAGAGCTTGCAAAGTATATTAAAAGGGCTTTCAGATGTCTAGGTATTTTCTTAAATATAGAGAAAATACTTTGGGAGAAGTGTGTCTTACAAAATTTTTTTTAATTAAGCTTATTAATTCGTTTCTAAACTCTTTGAGGAAAGGATTATTTAAACCAAGCCTGCCATCTACTGTCAGAATTAACACATTGCAGAATCTTAAGGTAAATTATCTTTTCCAGGGCTACATTTATGTATGAACAATTCCCAGAACTTATGAACATGCTCTGGTCCAGAATGTTAAAAGACAACAAAAAGAATTGGAGAAGAGTTTATAAGGTATGAATATAAGCTTGTTTTGCAATATTAAAAACAAGTGCTTGAAATTTAAGCCATCCATATAAAAATTATTTTGAAAGATATTAAATCATTGACTAGACAGTCCAAAAGACATAAATAGGTTTGTGCTGTTTTTTGGTCATCATAAACAACTGTTATCTGTGCTATGTTTTCTGGTCATCATAAACAACTGTTCTCAATGTAAAATGTTTGAAATCATAGTAAATCAACCCCCATCTGCCCAGTGCCGGGGATTGAACCCAGGGTCCTTCACACTGGGATACGTCCCCAGCCATCTTTATTTTTGAGAAAGGGTCTCACCATTACGTCGGCTGAGCTTGGACTTGCCATCCTGTGGCCTCAGCTACCACACCTTTCTTCATAATACTTTTATATGCTGAATATTTTTATTCATTTTTTTCCTGCTAGAAATATTTGTGTATATCAGAAGTAATGAATGTCTTAATCAGATGCATGTTTAGTGTATCAGCAGTTAGGATGAAAAGAGGCTAACATGGTTGGTCATCTACATAAAAGCTTGCCTAATTCATTGTAACAGTTTTTAGCACCAAAAATATAGATTCTAAATTATACAGACTTCTAACCTTTTATATTTGTGATCATGGACTTTCTGATTCCTTTTTTTATTTCAGATAGATAGGTAGATACATAGAAAGAAAGAAAGAATGAGATAATCATCTGTTTTATCCCCAGCTTATTTTCTTGCTACTCAAAGTATATTTTCCAGAATGACAGGTAACATTCGTATCTGGAACTTGAGCATTTTGGCTTTCAGAAGTAAAGATCTGTGCTTTAGAGTAGTGTTCTTTATTTTGTTTCTGATAACATTTGTTATCATTTCTTCTGCCTATATTAGTAGGTATGATGAAATAGCGAAATTTCCTTAAATTAAAATGCTTTTAAAAATGAGACTTGTGGATTTTGTTGCTATTCTTTTTAATACTTGACTAAACTACTTTTAAAAAATGATGAATTTCTGGTAGGATGAAATTTTGTGCCCCTCAATTTCATCAGTCTGACTAGATTTTCATTTAAGTCAGGTTTGTTCCATGCAGGGTTAAGTTTAAAGTGTACAGTTCAGTGTGATTTTTTTTTTAAATATACTCACAGAGTTGTGCAAGAGTCACTATTATCTAATTCCAGAACAATTTTATCACTCCATAAAATTCCCCATACTTGTTAGGAGTCATTCTTAGTTCACATTTTAGCAATTTCTGAAACACTTAAGTTTTTCTTTTATGTGTTGGCAGCAACTTTTTTTAAACAAAAACTATTATCAACCTTAAACTGAAATTTTATCTAGGAAGAATACCATGGAATTATGTAATTACCAAATAATTCTTCTGGTTTATAATAAAAAAGTAAAAACCGAGCCAGTTTTATAATACTTTTCATTTCATTTATATTACACATACAGATAGTGTTGAAAACCCAAATTATTGATTTTTTTTTAAAAAAACTTCTCGTATATAGTATCCACTGGATAATTTATATTTATTATGTTGATAGTAGAGAACCTTCAAATTGACAGTGTAAATTCAAGACTATGTACAGTCTACTACAAAGTAAAGAAACCCTCCCCCTGGCCACCAGGAAGATTGTTTATTTGCTAATGTGGAAATTTTTTTTAACCATATACCAAAGCTTTACCAGAATTCATTTCACTAAATGATTTGGTGCTTTGTATTTTTACAGTCCTTGCTGCTCCTAGCTTACCTCATAAGAAATGGATCAGAGCGTGTTGTTACAAGTGCCAGAGAACACATTTATGATTTGCGATCCCTGGAAAATTACCACTTTGTAGGTGAGCAATAGAAAAACCTTATAAGCAAATTAAAACAGTAGTTGGAGTTGTCAGTCACCTGAACCAGCTTAGAAGCTTCTCTGCTCTAATTAGAATGTGACTGTTGCTGGTTGTGTGACGAGTGCAGAATCCAAGACGTGGGGCCCTAGAGTATTAATTAGTGAAGACAAGAACTTGCAGAAAAGACTGGCTAATAACAACAGAACCAATACAACATGAGTGTTCGGGTTTATATTAAAATATGCACTGGAGACTGGTCCCCTGTGGTGTCCATAAAGGAATAGCTTTAATCATATGGGAAGAAAAGGTTAGAGCTCCAAAACACACACATCTGTTTGAAGCTGGGTTTTTCCCCCCTCCCACCAAATACTATTTACTGTGCAAAGGCAGCAAGGCCAGAGTGTGTTTTGAATGTGAAAGAGGCTAGAGAGTGAAGCACATTTCATTTTGTAGTGTGCCCTCGTTGAAAGGACTTTAAAAATTTAGTTTTTCCGCTATACGTAGTTCTGGTAATTAGTGTTCCTATACTCGTATTGGGGAAAGGAAACCAAGCCATTTGGGGTGCTTCTCAGTCAGGAAAATGTTAAAGTGATTTTTGTTTTGATGTATCATATTAAAATATGAATAGGGAACATATACAGATTCATTCATTTCATATGGTCTTCACCAAGTAATCTTTTTCACTGGATTTTTTTTTTTTTTTTGGTTTTTCTCCGGTACCGGGAACCGAACCCACGACCTTGCGCTTGCCAGGCAGGCACTTTTGCCACTGAGCTAAATCCCCAGCCCCTTCACTGGATTTTTAATTGACCTTGTGTGGTACTGTCATTGGTGGACCTTAAGCCAAAATGGCATTTCAGAACATGGAATTTGCCAAGGAGGAAACAACAAAGTAAAAACCACAATCTCACTATGGTTTTGTTTGTTCTCTTCCAAATATTGAAGTTGGTTTCTTATGTTTTGTTATACCTTTAGTTCTTTGTTTTGTCTTAAAGAGTTTGGTACATATTTAGTGAATTCTTAAGGTTTTGTTTCTCTTTTACCATCCTCAAGATGAACATGGCAAGGATCAAGGTATAAATATTCGCCAGAAGGTGAAGGAATTGGTTGAGTTTGCTCAGGATGACGACAGGCTCCGTGAAGAGCGAAAAAAAGCAAAGAAGAACAAAGACAAATACGTTGGGGTTTCCTCAGACAGTGTTGGAGGATTCAGATACAGTGAGTATCAAAGATATGTTGGTACCTAAACATTAGCTTACCTTCTTAGTGTATTTTAGAAATTACTCAATGACCGAAGTAGTTTTTAAATTTTTCTTAAGGAATATATAGAATACTAAAATATATGTGGCACTCATTTTGACATGAGTCATGTGAATCCTCCTGTTTTTATTATGGACTGAAGAATATGATTTTTAACCACTAATGGGTAATTAGATGTTGTAAACTTTGAATTAATATAAAGAGAATAAAATATATGTACCTTACCTCTTAGGATTACTATTCTTTAAAAATGAAGAAAAAAGGAAGTTTTTCTTATATTTCAAAGGAATATAAAAACGCAAAGTTGGATCAACGGATCCATCTTTCTAATTCGAAACCAGTTTAGCTCATACTCTTGGCCAGAAATGTAAGCTTCTATAAGACAATCCAGCCTCAGTCTCTCTTCTCATAATTAAGCATTGTATAATTTGTTCTTATTATGTTTCTTTTTTGTTTCTGAAACAGGGTCTCACTTTGTAGTTCAGGCTGAACTTGAACTCCTTATGTAGCCCAGCCTGGTCTCTCAAACCCTGGTGTTCCTCCTGCCTCAGCCTCCTGAGTGTTGGGATTACAGTACCACATGTAGCAAGTAGTGCATAATTTGATACAGAAAAAGATGAAAGATGGTGTTCTCAGTTTTTCACCTGAGGCTGTTTACTTTGTTTGTTCCTAACACATTTACAGGCAACTAGAACATTCACCTCTAATGCTTATTTTAAATGTAATAATATACAAAAGCATAGTACGTGCTCACAGTACATATACAAACGTAGCTTTTCTACAGCGTGTCTCTTTGGATTTGTCTTTTCTTCTGCGAGCCCTGACATTCTCCCAGTCGTTTCATGTGTGTACAGAGCAGGCCGATTCCGTGTGCCTTAGCACAGCAGCTGGGTATCGTGGCTCTGTGGCTCCCCTTCTCGTATCTAGGCTCCTTTGTATTTGGCTCACACTGAGATCTTGGAACTCCTTCAGTGGAACTGTGAAAATCTGCTCTTACGTTTTGTAACTACCTAAAAGATCTCATTCCTTTGCTCTTTTGCTTTCCTGCCCGCCCCCCAGAAAAAATACTGCAGTGCGTTATCTGTTGTTACTATCAGCAGAAAACTTCTCTTTTTTATGTTGAAGCACCACATAAAATTCAGTTCATGAATTGGATAAGAATATTTCTCTTAAAGTATTTAAATGTCTTGAAGTTATTTCTGTAAGAGAAAAATAAATTGAATTGGGCAAGAGTATTTCTCTAAAACAAAAAAATTTAATTGGACAAGACTGTTTCATGAATTGGACAAGAATATTTCTCTTAAAGCATTTGAATATGTTTTTATGTTGTTTCTGTAGGAGAATAAGAAATTGGATTACTTAAATCCAAGTAGTTATTTTATTCGTTAGCTTTTTCAACGTAGCTATAGCAATTAATGTGTTTTTAAGTAGAAATTGCTGTTTGCAATTCATTTCTTCATTCTCCTTGCTTTTGTGCTTTTTTTAAAACTAGCACAATATGTAATTATGTCAGATAAATTTAGAAAATTGAAGTTTTCAGACTCAGTCACAGCCAAGTAATTGTAGGATCAGTGTTGGAGGTAGAGTTAAACAACCTGTGTATTTGCGACACATAATTTGCTTAATTATTACTAGTGTTTTTCAGATTGAACTACTCAACTTCAGCTGTTTTGTTTTCTCCTTCTGATATAAGAATGTCTCAGCACTGTTCATTCTCATTAGCACTGATGTAATATGATGCCCACCACACTAATCAGTTTGGTTTTCATTTGAAATGTGCACACAGATCACTGGAATATCACCCCCCAGACACCCCAGTACTGGTGATTAAAGGACCTTTCCACTGAGCTCCACCTCTAGCTCTTTTTTATTTTTCTTCTGGGGCAGGATCTCACTAAGTTGCCCAGCCTGGGCTTCAGCTTGAGCTGTTCCTCACCTCAGCTTCCCAAAGTGCTGGAATTATAAGCATGCACCACCACACCCAACTAAAATCACTTATTTTAAAAAAATGATCCTGGTTTAAAATTTGTTACTTTACTTTTTTTTTAAGTTGGTGGTCACTTCCAGATTTAGCACTTAATATTTTTGGGTTTGGGCTTGGGTTGGGTTGGGTTTGGTTTGGTTTGTTTCATCTTGTTTTATTTGGGTGCTGGGGATTAAACCCAGGGCCTTGTACGTCTTAGGCAAGCGCTGTACCACTCAGCTATATCCTCAGCTCTAGTGTGTATATTTTAAACTTCTCAGACTTTTACAGAAGAGTTATTCATAAAATTTTAGTAGGCAGTTGAGTGAAATGGATTTGGGCACTCTCCAGAGAGCATAGATACCATCAGAACTTGTTAACAAAGGTTCACAACAAAGGCTATGAGCCGCCTTTTGGTATTTTATTGTTTCTCACTTCCCTTTTCTTTTTCCTTCCCACCTGGCATTAGTTTTCAACATTTTCTTTAAAAAAAGAATCTTGTAATTTCTCTGTATCCTTCACTTGGTTCTTCAGTTGAATTTGGACATGAAAATGGAAGGATTTATACCGCATAATCTTACCTCTCCATTGGGCTCCTAAGGGCAAGGACTAAAACTGATCTTGACTTAATGGGCTCTTTATTCACTGCCATGATCTTTTCCCTTCATTCCCAAATTCATGCAGAGGCTTTCTAGGTTTCACCAATCCCATCCTGTATTTCTATTTGGTTTTTGAATATTCATCATTATTCTGAGCTACTTGAAAATAATTCATAATTGTAGTATGTGCAGTTTTTGGTAGTGAGAAAATTCTCTTCTTTTTAGCAATTATAAAATTTTTCCCCATGCCTTGAAATCCACTGAATTATTTTTCTGATTTGATAGTACAGAGTGACAGTTGCCACAACTTTGCAGCATATTATGACATGTTGCATCCAGGGAGGCATTCCTTTGTTTAACTTGTTTGTTTTGGAGTTTTCTTTATTTTAGATGGTATCTTTTTGTATTGTCTAGGGTGACCCTGGAGCTCTTGGTCTCCAGGGATCTTTCTGCCTCAGCCTCTCCTCCCAAGTAGCTGAGACTATGACATATACCAGCTTTGCTTTCTATTTTTTAAGACACTGTTGTTGTCCAGTACTTCTCAACTTTGAAAAACGGTTGAGACAGAAATGAAATACAATACATTAAGTGACTTTTAAAAAACAAAAGGATTTCCATTAACTCTTTTGCTTATAGATCTTGTGTTGATTTTTGTATTTTCTGTTACTCCTCTCAGTAGTCTTTAGGAACTTTGGAATGTTTTGCCTGAAGCTTTTGAAAGTTTTCATAAAGAAAAGCTTTTGAATCTGCATTCCTGCCACTAAGTGACTGGCATTACATGCTGTGCCTTGCTGTAATTGTGCTGATTCAGCACTGTAGGGGTTTTCTGTTTTCCTTGAAAATGATTTTATTATGAGAAAAAGGTTCAGAAATAAAGACTGTACACACCATTTGAATTTAATGTCCTTAGAGTTGCTTCTTTTTTTAATGTGTTGTATAGGTGAAAGATATGATCCTGAGCCCAAATCAAAATGGGATGAGGAGTGGGATAAAAACAAGAGTGCTTTTCCATTCAGTGATAAATTAGGTGAACTGAGTGATAAAATTGGAAGCACAATTGATGACACCATCAGCAAGTTCCGGAGGAAAGATAGAGAAGACTCTCCAGAAAGATGCAGGTATTAACATTGTCTCCAGGGCCTCTTGAAAAAGGTGCTCAATTTATGCTGCTGGGTTTTTCTTTGAGGTATTAGCATTTCTGAAGTTCAGCTTTGTAAAAATATTAGACCTTTTTAGTGGAGTCTTAGGTTCACAGAAAACTGTTCATAAAGTATAAAAGTTGATATACACCCTCTCCACAGTTTCTCCTGTTAGTAACATCTTGCACTAGTTTGGCATACTTGTTAATTTAGAAAGCCTATATTGATGTATGTATTGTGTTAGGCCAGTAAGTTTTCACAGATGCATGATGCTTACATTATAGGTTCAATAGAATAGTTTCACTGCTGTGAATACACCCTGGACAAAAATAGGGAGTAGCTCGTGATTTTCCTAGTCATCCTTTCATAGACCATGCTAGTTTCCCTATGTAGTTCTAGTTTTAGTGCACAGATGCTAGTGAAGCAAACAGTTTAGAGGTGTTTTTAAGGCCCTAGGAAAAACTGCTGTTAGTAGTGATACTCGTTCTGTGTTGTCTGTGCCCATTTATTTCTACTGATGATCACATGCCCTCTATGTTTTATTTCTAATGTCTTAGTCTTCCCTTGGAATTTTTTCCCCCAGTATAAACTCTTACATGTTATTTTAAATTTGGATATCGGGTGATCCAGGGATTTCAAGATATTGTTGAATAAAACAAAGGATTTGAAATTTAACTGTGTGTGTGTGTGTGTGTGTGTGTGTGTGTGTATACACATGTATGCATGTATTTTACTGGAGATTGAGCTCAGAGCCTTTGCCCTGATCTACATTTCTAGCCCCTTTTTGTTTTTGAGACAGAATCTCAATAAGTCACTAAGTTGCCCAGACTGGACATAAACTTGTGATCTGCCTACCTCAGCCTCCCAGAATGCCAGAATTACAGGTGTACACAATTATTCTGGACTTCCTTCGACATCTCATTATGGTTCTCTGCCAGTGTATACCAGAAAAACAACCCAAATGGCTTTTGAACCAATATTTTTCTCTGTTTTCATACACTTCATTTTCTAATGTTAGGCTTTTGCACTTAACTTTTCAGCATTCACTTCTTTCTTACCTACCACTATAACTGTGAGCTAGTTTTTCTGCTAATTTAAAGGGCATTGTTTTGCAAGACCTTTATTGGCCTTACAATACAGTATTTCTATTAAATAAAGTAGAGCAAGGACTCTACCCTTGTTTTTTAGATACTCAATCAAATTGTGTGGACCTACCTAAAGTAACACAATAATTGATGAAACTATACCTTTAAATGTGTTCTTATAAATAAATGTCATCTTTTTCCCTAAACCAGAAATATCTTGATAGTTCAGTTTTAGAGGCCATTAAAGGAAGTACAAGCAAAAATATAATTTTGAAACAAATTCTTAAATGTTTAGTATCTTTTCAACATGTTTTCATAGTTATTAAGTTCTTCTTTTTCATATTTCTAGAACAGATCCTTAAAGGCCAGAGTTTAATATGTAGACTATATCTATTGTGCAACTGTTTCTAACTTCTTTAAATACTGAGTTAACAGTTCTATATACTAACCTTCGGGAAAATCGTGCCTACTTCAAATGTTCTGTGCTTTTTCCGCCCCCTGGTAATGTTCTTGAGGCCTGTGTAGATGTTCTTGGCTTGTTTTGGAATGCACAATGGCCATATATTCTGTTGGTGTTTCTGGAAAGTGTGGGAATTGAGTAATGTAGGCAGGTTAGAGATACAACTATGTATATTCTTATGTTACTACCTTTTTTCTTTGCCCTTCTACCTTCATTTGTTCTTTTCTTTTCTCCCTACTTTTTATTTTATGTTTTTTTCCGTATCCTACCTTTAAGACAGGATTTGCAAGAGTTCCTAAATAATTTATGTAGAATATTCTTATTTAAAATACATAAGAATACATAATATTTATTTAAAATATTAAATTTAAACTTATTAAATTTATTAACTTATTAACTTATTAAATTTAAATTTAAACTTATTTAAAATACAAAGTGAAGATACATCAAATATGATCTCTCATAGTAATGACAAGAATACAGTGACTTCTTCGTGTGAAATTGTTTGTGAGAGAACAGATTTTTAGTCAAAGTTGCATGTGAACTCTGATAAGTTACCAAAATTTCAGCCTTACTTGTCAGTTATTAGAGTCAGGAATTCTTGAACACTGGTAACATAAGAAGGTTCTGTTTCATGTGTGCTAGTCAGATTTATATTCTGAACTTTGTAAAGAAATCTTGTTCCCAAATAAAATTAGGCATCAAAAAGGTAAGGAATGCAGCTTTGCTTGCTGGGTTAGTGGTGGGAATCTAGGTTGTTTGTTACTGAGAAATTATTAAGGGTTCTTGGCCACTTGCCAGAACTGATAGGTTCCTAAAATGCTTGTGTATAAAAATACATTTAGCCCCTTTGCTCTGTGTGGGAAGCCATTCTTTTTAATCCTTGATTTATACAAGTTCTAAATTGGTTTATATATAAGTAGAAATTGCTTTATATTAGTCTCAGTTAAATTGCATCCATAATAGTCATAGTTTAAAGGAGAATTTTAAGCATTTTATTCCAGAATATTTATAAATTAAACCACCTACTCAAAAAATTAAGTAATATAAGTAATGGAACTTATTTAAGGTTCTCTCTCTTTTTCTCTTTGTCCTACTTGCACCCAGAAAAAACCCAATACCTTATTACTAGAGAACAGACATTGCTAACATTTTCATTCCCAACATATGAAAAACCCAGGTTTTTTTCTCTCTCTTTTTTTTACACTATTCAAAAAGGAAGAAAAAAATTGGGGGGAGTTGTGACTGAAAAGAAACTTTCAGAAACATTTTCAATATAGTTAAGTTTCTATAAAACAGTTTACACAGTGCTGTAAAGTTTTGATACAGTAGTAAAATAAAAGAACAGTTGTAAAGTGCATTACCTTGTATTTTTCTGCATTTACAGATAAGAGTGTAATCATTTGAAATCAAATAAGATAATATTTTTAAAGTATCGCTTGAAATTGTAATAGTTTATCATTTGTGCATTAGTATATAAGAGTTGGTGATGTAATTGTGTTATAAAAGTGGAACTGTAGCCATTTGCACACAAATTCATTTTCAAAAAATAGTCATCGAGTGCAGATACTTGAAATAACCAATCTTAACACTTGATTCTATATAGTCTTACTATTTAATCTTTTAATTAAGCTTTCAATGTATAATAAAGCTGGATTATTTTAGATGTTTTTATGTATGCACATTTCTGTACATAATTTTTTGTAGCAATGTTTTAAACTTACCTAGGGAATTCTGTGCCCCACCCTCCATATTCACATCATTATTCAGGTGGCTTAGCTAACACTGTTGATCCCTGTCAAATAGTCAAAGTATGGATTCTTGGAGTTGAAACTGCACTTGAAATTCTGTAGTTCAGATCACTGAGGACTGCATTTTAAAATAATCCCAAGTCTTATTATTTTGCTTCATTTTGAATATCTTTTAGTGACAGCGATGAGGAAAAGAAAGCAAGAAGGGGCAGGTCTCCCAAAGGTGAATTCAAAGATGAAGAAGAAACTGTGACGACAAAGCACATCCATATTACACAGGCCACAGAGACCACCACAACCAGACACAAGCGCACAGCAAATCCTTCCAAAACAATTGATCTTGGAGCAGCAGCGCATTACACAGGGGACAAAGCAAGTGCAGATCAGAATGCTTCAGCCCACACACCTCAGTCTTCAGTTAAGGTGGGAAATGCAGAAGTTTACACATTACACATGCTTCTTTTTCTGAACTACTTTTAGAATTCCTGCATTCGTCAGCTTAAGCATTTGTAACCGATCATATTAATTATAAATCATCTGACATGTATTACTTAGTCCATAGTAGTAAGAAATCTCTGGGGGAAGAAGCCTGTCCAGTTGTTCAGTGATTTGTCTGTGTACTTTCTAGGAAAGTAGAAATGATACTCTTGGTTCACTGGAGAAAGGTGGTGAATCAGAGTGATGCATCGGTTTCCATCTAGATACTGCACAGCTTCATTCACTAAGGAAAAGGAAGGGAATATTTGGAAGTTTTAAGAAATGACAAGAGTTAGATGTGGTGGTGTACGCCTGTAACCCCGGCACTCGTGCAGGCTGAGCCAAGAGGATCACTATGAGCTCAAGGCCAACCTGGACTACATAGTGAGTTCAAGGCCAGCATGAGCTGTATAGTGAGACACTGCTGAAAAATATAAATAAAAAGGGCAGGTGAGAGACAAAAGAAATTGATAGATAGAAATGACCTCATTTAACATTGAGATAGTGCCTGTAAAGGGAGGCTTATTGGCCATTACTGATCAGAGCAAGAAGACACTGCCTCTGGTACTGTCACTTTTTTTCCACCACAGAAATGAAATCCACCTGCCAGATAGCTGGTCTTTCAAACAGAAATCTGTCAGAGGGGAAGTTTGCTCTGGAAGGTTAAAGTGCTCTTTCTGTCATTACTTTGCGCACTACACTTATCCAGTATATATATTCTTACAACAGAAGTAGTTAAAAGCTGAGGGAAACGTTTTTGTAATGTATCCAGCAAATTGTAGCTGACTCTAAACAAAGTTAGGCCTTCTTGCTGGCAAAGTCTTTGCCAGGTCTCTTCTGGATTGCTGTATAATTTTCACACATGTTGTGAGGTTGTTGTTACTGTTTTTTGGTTCTGTTTTGTTTTTTGTTTTGTTTTTTTTTTTAGTTTTGCTGAAAACCTCAGAAGTATCACATCCAAATTGAGTTGTAGTTAAAGAGAAGACATAGCTCTTATTTATTTGTGGGTTTAGGTTTCCCCTCTTGGTATAAGACAGTCTTAGCTTACTGATTGTTGTATAGGATTTGATAGTCACAGTAATTAAAAGCCAAACACATGGTGCCTGTCATAGAGAATTCATATTCATGTATGGTTGTATGAGGAAAATCATTGAAAGTGTAATTTTTTTATAATAATTTGAGAATGTTATACCAAAGTATTTTAAATGTCACATCTGGGAATTGCACTCTCTTCCTGTTGCCTAACAAATCAGTTCTAATTCAGCATGTATGTGTTGAACCTAGAAGGCATAGATGTCAGGGTGCTTAGCACTGTGGAGAAGCTAAAAATAGAAGTCCAGACCACATCGTTCAGTTTGGGAACTAAATATAAAACAGATGTCAGGTTATTCAGACAACATAGAATTACACTAACTTATGTGATGTATAATGTGCTTTATAAAGTGTATAGAATTTTAAAGCTGGATAGGAATTTCGCTTCCAACACAGTGGGTGTCAGTCTTTGTAAAGGGAACTTTGTGTGATTTTAAAGAGTCTCACCTTGAACAGTTATAACTTATTCTGTTGGAATTTTTTAGTGATTCTGATAATGTAGCATCGAGAATTAAGTGGAGTCTGAGAGGTACATTTTCCAGATTGAAATGTATAGTAGAAGGAATGAGTGAGAAAACAGAATATGGATGTTAGCGAATTGTAAAGTGCAGGAATAGATTGACTTCATGCTTAATGCCTCTCCATAAGGAGTAAAACTCTTCTTTCCCAGAAAACTAAATGTGTCCTTGGTTAGATAATTTTGCAGGTGTATGTGTCCAAATTGGCAATTATAGGGGAATAGGGTTGATTTTAAAAAAGAATTAATAGAAATTTATAAGCATATAATTATGTAATTTTTTTCAGACTTCAGTGCCTAGCAGCAAGTCATCTGGTGACCTTGTTGATCTGTTTGATGCCACGAGCCAGTCAACAGCTGGTAACCTTCCACATGGTTTTTTTCTTTCTAAAAACCTTGGTTTTAATAATTTTTAAAATACCATATAAAAATGAAGTGAAATATATATATTTGTTATAATTAATGTGAAACTAGTGAGTCTTGAGCAATGTTGGGGGGAGAATTGTTCAGTTGCCTGAAAAACAAGAGAGACATGGTGCTTAAATATTTGGTAATGTAGCAATCTCTCAGTCCTCTTATTTTCTTTATCTCCTGTAGCCTTTTGCATTCTTTGGAAAATACTATATTGATATTTTTGTTTACCTTCTTATATATGCACTTATTTCTTAAGGTTTTCCCTTAAAAGAAGTACACCTAGTTGTATATCTTTTTCTGACCCCAGACCTAGCAAAACCTCTTTGTGGTAGCTTGTCATTCAATACTGATAATAGTGTCCTCAAATCACTCTAACATAACTTACATCTTAATATCTCCCCATACCTGCTGTAGTATTTAATTAATAAGTAGTATTTCAAGGTATAGTAAACTTTCTAAAATTTTCCATGATCGAAGATTTTGGAAGCTTCATAGCTCTCATTTTTAATCTTTTAAAATTAATTTGAAAAAATAAAATTTACATGAAGACTGCTACCTTTGATTTCTTTCTGTGAAAGATTTACTGCTGTGCTTACTTTACTGACTGACCCTAAGCCTCCTTTCCAAAAACTGGTATTGGAGGTTGAGCCCAGGGCCTTCACATTGAGCGGCATTCCCAACCCATTTTTGTTTTTTTTTTATTTTGAGACAGATTGCTGAGTTGCACAGGCAAGGCTCAAACTTGTGACCCTCCTGCCTCGCAGACCTAGGACTATAGGTCTGAGCCACCAGGCCCAGGTCCCTAAATCTTAATTATTGCTGTCCACATGGGTATGCCTCAAGTTTGTTTGCCTTTCAGTTCATTTATCCAACAAATACTTTTTGAGCTAAACACCAGTCTGAGTGCTTGTAAGATTCAAGAAATACAACTTCTGGTTAAAGACAGTTTTTCTAAGCCTGTTTAAATTTCAATTTACATTCAAATATAGACCAGCACAATTGGGTTATGAGTTATTTCCATATTATTTTGTACTAGGATTAAACTTAACAGGACTCCTGATTTGAGCTGGGTTCCAAGATCTTATAGTTCCTTTCCCCTTTTTTCTGTAACTATAACTGTACCTAACATTTTTCTTTAATCTTTATTGGATTACAATGCCCAAGGTTACAAACAGCTACATTAGTTGTTTAACAATTTATATGCTGTCTTTTTGAATGCTTGAGATTTGATCTGTAGTAAGTAGTAGTTAGCATGTGGTCATATAATACAGACATAGTGTCACAGAGTATCAATTATTTTGGACTTCCTGGAATGAAATATTAATGAGCCCCTTTCATGCTTCTGCGGAAAGTTTTAATGGAGCAGTCACTGAAGAATTAACTAAGAAAGTCAGATGAATGGATGTAACTTTTTTCCTCCGTGGTACCAAGATTGCTTTGAACAGAGAGAATTATTAAATACTAACATGCTTCCTTTTGCTTGGCAAGAAATCTTTTGAGTGGCTTTTCTTCTCTAGTGCACATAGTAAGATTGACTAATTAAATAGAAATAACAGTTAAAGTTCAGTAATTGAGAGCAAAGTTTGACTGAAATCTGAAAGGTTTCTTTTCTTATACTTTATCATTATTTTCTAAAAACAACTGCATGTGGCTTGACATCAGAATTATTTTTCAAAGTTGTCTTCTATTTTTCTGTGTTTAACCAGTTACTACGGCTCTCCCTGCAGTCAGTACATAAATTTAGTTACCCATCTCTTATTTAAATATTTTAATAATATATTTTAAATTGAATTCTGCAGTGAAAAGAAATTAGATATTAAATCTTTAGTGCCTACGTGAGAAGGTGTAAGAATCTACCATATTAACATTGCTGCTTGGTGTGTCATTTGGGTGTCATTTACCAGGTGTGCCCATATTTATAATAGTAGCACCATGCAAATAATATGGGCACAAACTAAAACTAAGCAGATATAGCATCTGTACGGCTTATCAGATAAATCTCTCCTTTGAGAAAATGCTTAAAATTTTAAAAAATGTGTTAATGCATTCTTATTGTTAAACATCTTCAAAAGTAGAATATCATTATACACTATCTCACCAGCTTTAAAATTACACAGGTGATCTTGTCTAGTGAAACTGTATTGTCTGTTTTATCGAAGAATTATTTTCTTATTCTCTTTAATGGTTTGAGCAATCTTTCATTCTTACATCTGATAATCTGAGCAGTGTAGTTGAGGATAGCGATACGCAATGTAACAACCACTGTTGATTTGCATTAATTTGTCTTAAGACCCTGTATCACTTGGAATGTTCTTGCTTCGATTTATGTTCCTGATACTGGTATGCTGCTATTGTTCCATTTTTTTGTTTGTTTCTCATGTACTACTCTCTGTAAAATAAAAAAAAATTTTTTAAAAATTACACAGGTGAAACATTGTACTTGCAGTCGTCAGGATTTACTTGAGATTATCTTGATAAATGTCCCATTGTGGTGATGTTCTTTTAAACTCTGTACTTAAATGATGTTTTGGTGGCTTTTATATATAGAACATTTCTTAGGCATTTTAAGAAATGCATAATTTAAAATACTTAGAAAATAATTCAATTAGAAATAGAATGCCAAAGCCATTCCTTTTTTTTAAAGTATAAATCCAGTTGTCTCTTTATAATTAAATGGTTTAGGTTTTGATTAACATGATATTAATGTATTTCTAGTACGATAAGTGAGATTGAAGAGAAAGCACATTATAGTCAGTACAACTAAAATATTTTGATAGTCTAAGTTTAAAAAAATTTTAGAGGACTACCCATAATTTTCAATACATTTGAACCTGTTACCTTGTGTTCACTAATTATTTTTACCTGACCTGTAAATCAGCTTATTACATCCTCTGTCGACCAAATTGTATTAGAATTTAGATGGAGGCTGTCTTCTAGTTTTAAGCCAAGGTTATTGAAAATTAGTTTAGTATATTCTTTGATTGTTAAAAGTATTGCATGCTTACTTTTAGCAATGTGAAAAAAGTGTTTCACCTTTAGATACATAAAACGAACCATTAATAGCTTTGAAAATTCTTCATACATTTAAGAATTTATTGCATGTGAAATCTTTCAGGCTTCTAGAAAAAAATTTTTTTGTTGTTGTTTTTCTAAACTACTTTTTACCCAAGATCTCCTTGACCATTTCCTTACAATTGTATACTTTCGCTGAACTCTTCATTGCTTTATAATCTTACGTTGTATACTTGTACTATAATTTAACCAATCCCTTATTTTCTGGTTACTGGGGTATTCTCCCCATCCCGTTTTTTTCTCTATTATAAGTAAATTAGCACCCTAGCAGCTTTCAGAATCTTTCAGCTTGGTAAGGAGAAAAATTTTTTATAGATTATTAACAATTTTTAATCATTTTTTTGTATTTTGTCATTTCCTTTTGTAGATACTAGGATTTTTCATGGATAGGTTTGCTTAATGTAGGCCAGACAAAATTCTTTGTTGGAGAAAATTTCCATTTGTAGTTTAAGCACTGTCTGGGCACAGCCATATTTTTCTTGTTCGCAGTATTGCTTTGGAAAATACATGTTCCCAGCTGGTGATTGTAAATAACCTCCTTGCCACCCTGAAGAGGCAGATGGAAATGGTTCATTTATAATGACAGCTCTCGTGTGGGTATCATGAAAGATAGCTCTTGTTGTGAAAATTAGCAGTCTTCCACATGCAGCAATTTTTGGTAGACTCTTTTATTTGTATTTCCTCAGATAGAAGTTATCTTGGGAGAAATGCTTAAGCACAGAAAATTTTTGTTGAGCTTTAAGCATTGGTATGTATATCATGTACGCAGGTATGGAATGTCCCTCAAAGGACAGAGAAACTTTTTCTAAATGAAGAGTTTTTTTTTTATTTTTCAAACAGTAAGTCAAACCAGCTTCTATTTGTAAAATAGCTATGAGTGTGTTTCTGTACTTGCAATACTCTTAAATTAATCATATTGAAATCGAATTCCTAGTAGTATGTGATGAGAGGAATAATACTGCTCTAAATAAGTTGTGAAAATCCTGTAATTTAGTGTATATAGCAGAAGGTGGAGCAGCGGAATAATCAAAGTGTTTATGTTTATATGAAATATTAAATTCAGGAAAAGTAAAAATAAAATTCACCCATTTTTAAGTTGTGATCTATGATAGTACTTTTATCTGCAACATGAATTTTCTTTGTAGCTTAGACTAGTCAAGATTAGAAAATTCCTACTTGTCATAATAAATTACTTACTGATGTTTATTCACTGCCTGGATGAAGCAAATTAAAATAATCTCATCTCTAATTTTCAAGTCCCTTGATGTTGTAATAATTGATTAGCTATCATTCTGTTACCCAGCAGTATGCTTTGATCAATATTTTTGATGTGTAAGGACATTACAGAAAACAAACTTAGGAATATCAGGCAACACCTGTTTGTAACACTAATTTCCCTGCTAGTTTTATTAATATATATTCTCATTTATAGTTTAAACCTGTCTAGCTCACTGGTCTTTTGTCCTCGACACATTTTATCATGATATGTGTACCTTTATGGAAGAGAAAAGTAAGTCACTGATATTACCATTTGAATGCCTTAAAAAGACATACGAGTTATAGTGTTGGTAACAGTAGAGAATCCGTGTTGGTGTTAGTTTGCTGATGAGGATATATACATGAGCATGCCTCTGTAATATTGAAGGGATGAGGAATTAGTTATGCCTGCTGATAATTGACTACAGTAAATGTGCCTTAAAAAGAAATACCAAGTACACATGTATCAGAATCTGATTTGTTCCTTTTATGACTGCTGGGCATTTATTAAGAAGGAGAGATGGTTCTAGTTTAATTAACCCAGTTGAGTATAGCAGATGGGGCAGAATGTCTTGCAGCGATAAGACAATTCAGAAATGGCACCAGATGTTGGAAGCTGTCCCTCGTGGTGTTTGAGTACAGCCCAGATGTTCCAGTCCCACCTGGCTAGTTTCTAAGCACTGCAGGCTAAGCAGTTGTGATGTAACCTATATAATGTTCACATAACACTAAAAGCAATATAATTGAGCTGCCGCTCCAGGCTTCTAAGGTTATGACTCTTTAGAGATGATATCTTTAAGGACAGTCAGAAATAAAGACAATTACTTAAGGTTTTAGATCTTTCACTGTTTCACTGATAATTAAAGAAAATAGAATGTTAAAACTTGAAATAAAACACCATTTTCTAAAAAAAGTTGAAATATCATTCAAATTGTAGATAAAAGAACCTATCTTTACCCATGTAGTTTTTACAAATGAGAATTTCATGAAAATAGGATATTATGCACACAGATTGATTTGCAGGCATAAGACTTTTTTCTTCAATTTTTATTTTAAAAGATTTTAAGCATATAGAAAGTTTGTTTCATTTTCTTTCTCTACTTCTTGTTTTTTCTCTATAATATATGCTTTGTTCTATGTCATTTGGAAGAAAGTTGCAAGCACCATAATTGGGCCTTAAAATATTTCAACTTATATTTCCTTACAAGAACATTCTCTTTGGTAATCATAATATAATGTGTTTGGAAAGTAACATTAAAAATATTAGTCTCTTATTGTGTCATAGCATATTCATATTTCTCAATTTAGTCTTTTCCATATTTCACTTTTTTTAAAACCAAAGGTCCAGTCAAGGACTGTGCATTTCATTTACTTTTGCAAATATCTTATTCCTTCCATAGCAATATTTTACACACATTTAAGTATCGATGGAAGATTCTTGTAAAGACCACAATTGACTAGTAAATTGTATGCCCACGTTGTGCTTTTGAAACATTAGGGATAACATTAACCATATACAGTATGTAGTATCATCTTCCTGTGTCTAAGACTGAGGAATGTGAAATAGTTTGAGAATGTACAGGAAACATGAATTGAAAACCTAGGTCAAATAGCTTCTACAGGGGCCGGAGGCCACTACTGTGTATATTTTTCATCTGGCGCTAAAGTCTTCGTGAGATTGCTTGCAATTGTTCTCCAGTTCTAACAGCTTAACTTTTCCCTCTGTTTTAACTTCCAGGAGGATCAGCTGATTTATTTGGGGGATTTGCTGACTTTGGCTCAGCTGCTACATCAGGCAGTTTCCCTTCCCAAGGTATGAGGTGATTTGACTGGCCAGACTTACAGAGGTGGTGAAAAGGTTATGAAATACATAACTCCCTCTCCCCTAAATTAACTTCTTTTACCATTTTTATCTTTGTGGTAGTTATAATTCATAGTTCCTAAGCAGTTTATTCACGAGGTATTTTGGGGGACCAGAGTTTTAAATATGCTAAATGAATTACACACATTACTCAGATACCTCTAAAGAAAACTGTCCATATTCATATATGACTTGTTTAGCTGTGTAGGAAGGAATGTAAGTATAAATAATCTCATTTTTGTAACAAAAACGCTATGATTTATATTTTGTTTATATGATTTTTCAGGAATGAAACTTAGCAATTTTCTAAAATTAGGAATTAATGCTACTTGTCACAGTTCTTTAAAAAGATAAAGCAGTATCTACAGAAGTATGTCAAATAGAGACCAAGTTCGTTATTAAATATCTTTTTTCCTGCAGGTTATGAAGAGATTATGATGTATGTTTTATAAAATCTGGGACAGTTCAGAGTTAGAGAATATTTAAAAATTTAGCTTTAATAATCATGAATACAAAGTGAGGCAAGGAGGAACAATGTAACTGAATTAATCTTGTTATTCATTACAAGTACAGTAATGTATTGCTATTATATTAAACTGGTTTAAAATTTTATTTACTATTGTCTGATTTACGTTTAACAGGACTATGAATAAAAATGTTTATCATTTAATGTGGTTAGGGATTATTTCTGCAGCCTACTTTTACAAATTCCAAATATTTCTCAGAAATAAAAAATTTTGAGTAATTAACTACTTCATTTTGGAAGTGTGATTACACCTTCTAAGAGTTGATACCTTACTTTAGGCAAATCAAAGTGGAAGGTAAACATTGCCCTCATTTTACAGACTCCCTGTGTAATTCTCAAAGTTTTTATGTATGTAAAGTTGCCTAGTATGCAGATAATTTGAATATGTTAATATTGCCTAAGTGATACATCCCTTCATCTGTATGCGTGTGATTAATATAACCTGATCACCATTGCACAGGGGGCTGAAACTGTTACAACAATGATTAATCATTTCAGAACAATATATGCCCCATTAGAAATCTCTTCCTCCCATGATTAATCATGTCAGATGCTGAGTTTTCAGATGGGGCAGTAAGGTTTGCCCCAGATTCCCTTCATAGTCTGCTTTATAGATCAGGCAAATAAAAAATCAGCATAGTGTTTACATTTACCCAGTAGCCTTACTTAAATGAGTTCAAATTGTTTAATGTATAGAACTAATTTTAACATTCTTGATGTCTGTTTTGTAGAGAAGATCAAAGACATGTAAAACCTCGAAGTAATGAATATTGGCCCTTTTTTTTTTTCTTTTTTTTTTGGTACCGGAAATTGAACTCACGACCTCCCACTTGCCAGGCACACACTACACTACTGAGCTGTATCCCTGGCCCAAGCACACTTCTTAGGTTAAATTGTTGGTAGAACTTGGGGCTTTCTAAGTACACTGTTTTTTTTCTTTTAAGGATGCGTACATTTTAATATGGTAATAGAAGAATATAATTTTAAAGACTTCTTGTTATTTTTCTCTCCTGATATTTAGCATAATGAGACACAATACTGTAGTGGTTAGTTACCTTTTAGGCTAGACAAAATGTATTCCCAAGTTGTAAATGAGCAGGGAGTGCAAGGAGATGGTGTTAATTAACTTGGAAATACATACTATTCCCTTTCACATGACAGTTTTTAATGTAGAGTTTTCTTCACCTTTTGCTTTTGCTTTTTCAACTTTCATTTATTCATATTTATCCATTTGTCTTTTTCTTAAGGAAAGGCGTATTTACTTAGATTTTAATAATCACTGTATTCCAAATAGTTAATATTGTATATTTAGGCTTTGTGGAATTGATTTATATTTTTATATGGCATGCCCGTCTTTTTCTTAAGGAAAGGCGTATTTACTTAGATTTATATATAACCTGCTTTAAAAATATTTTACCACTTGTCTTTAATAATCACTGTATTCCAAGTAGTTAATATTGTATATTTAGGCTTTGTGGAATTGATTTATATTTTTATATGGCATGCCCAAAGAGAAGAGAGTGCAGTGCCTTGGCTATCACCTGGACTTTACCATTTAATCCAAAGTAACAGTAACCAATCTTAAATTATACTTAGTATATACTAAATTATTTAATCTTTACAATATAAATTTTAAAAGTGAGTCATAGGGAGCTTAAGTTATTCAGTCAGGGTCGCATAGCTAGTAAGGCGTAAAATCTATGCTTTTAACCAGTATCAATTCATGTGTTACCAGTTTTTATAGTGAATGCATTGAGCCTCAAGATGTAATCATAATTCAAAGTGTAGTGATGAGGCTTTGTAATTTCTACCTTTTTAAAAATCTATCTGTTTTATTTTAAAGAGAAAAAATAAAAATAGCAAAACAGTTTCAAAACAGGTGAGTAGGAGAGTTACAATAATTAATACATTGCATATCGTCTTCGTAGTAATTATTCAGAATACAAGATATGGCATGATATTTTGTCCAAACAATATTAGCACAAACCTTGTTTTCAGTTTTATTTTTAATGTTAGCACAAATTTCCTTTCCTTCTTTTTATTTGAATAAATTGAACGTCTTGATTAAATAAGCCAGGTACGTACACTAAGGTTGTGCGGATTGTGCCTGGGCCGTTCTGCTTTTTGGGGAACATAGCCAAGTAAGTGAGAACTTCTTAAGAGAGTTTTATTAACCCACCCCTTAATTTTATTATATTTTTTCCGCCATGCTTTTCTGTTTTGTTTTTAATGAATTTGGAATCTAAAAAATTACATGAGTATAGTTTATACTGAGATTTCTATCTGAACCTTTCCAAACAATGAGTGAAGTCAGTAAGTTGAATCTGTTGATTTTACTGAGTATCTTGAGTATCTATTTCCTTACCTGAGTATTCTGGAAAGCCCCCAAAAAGTATAACCAGTTTAGAATTTCCTCCTTGCTTTTTTGAGTCCCAGGCTATATCATATATGTTTAGCTGGAAGCATATTTGATGTGCAGACTTAGTTGAAAGGAAATTTTTACAGTAGCTTCTGTGTGTCACTTACAGACCTGCCGCAAGATAAGGGAATTTTTTTTTCCTTTGCCACCCTGTTAACACTAGTGTTATATTCATGAGAAAGAGTAATGTCCAGATGGAGATGGTATCTGCAGATGTTAATCTGGATGGACTCAGATCAACTCTAATTAGTTTCACCTCATAGATTGTTATATTATGTGCATTTCAGAAAGTTTCTTACCTTTATAGTTCTTTCTGTCTTAACAGCAACAAGTGGGAATGGAGACTTTGGTGACTGGAGTGCCTTCAACCAAGCCCCGTCCGCTTCTACTGCTTCCAGTGGTGAGCTCTTCGGCGGTGCCTCCCAGCCAGCAGTAGAACTTGTCAGTGGCTCCCAGCCGGCTCTAGGGCCACCTCCAGCTGCCTCCAACTCTTCAGACCTGTTTGATCTGATGGGCTCGTCCCAAGCAACCATGACATCCTCCCAGAGTATGAATTTCTCTTTGATGAGCACTAACGCTGTAGGACTGGGTTTGCCCATGTCAAGATCACAGGTAAGTCACCTGCTTCCCTTGGAAGCTGTAATTTATAATCCTTGAGATACTTTAAATGATAGATTAGTGTAAGAAATACAAGTAAGCCCTGTGTGTGTGTGTGTGTGTGTGCGCGCGCGCGCACTTGTTGCTTAAGGATTGATGTAGTCTGAGAAATGTGTTCATGATTTTTGTCAGTGGGCAAACACAGTAATATACATACATGAACTTAAGATGGCTGCAGTGGCACTAGGCCATAAAATGTTACACGAACTGTTGTTGACCAAAACATTTAGGTGGCACATGACTCTGTGGCAGTTTTGCATGTTACATTTACCTCACACTCTTTCCTCTAGCATAGTTATTTGGGTTCTGGAGGGCAAAGCCTTGTTACCCATCTTGTAGCTTCCATAAAGACAAGTGTGGCATTTTGCATAGAGGAGGGACATGCTGAAAATACGTTGTTAGAACAGATTAGTATTTAATAGTATTTTTAAGTTGTTTTTAATAGAAAGAAATAGATACAGTGATACCTCGGTTTATGAACTTCCTTTACGATTTTGGGGAAGATGGCTGTGGTAGTGTTTGTAACCTGTGGTGGGGTTTACAAATAGAAGCAAAATTTCGCTGAACAGTTTTGTTTGTGAACTGAGTTGTTTGCAGACTGAAGTGTTCGTGAACCAAGGTATATTTGCTATATTTCATCCATGGTAAGCATTCACTTAGTAAAATTTCTGGTCATCTCCTTAAAAAATATTCATGACAGGCGCAGTGGTGGACACCTATAATCCCAGCACTTAGGCTGAGACAGGAGGATTGAAAGTTTGAGCCCCACCTGAGCAACTTAGAGAGACACCCCTATCTTTAAAAAAAATCAGTTGTTATAATCATCACTAATAGTATAGAAAAATCATTCCCTCAAGTGGTGATTTTTTTTCCTATTTTGGCCTGATCTCCATTACATAAACTTCATATAGGCTGCTCATTCAACGTTTATTTTCTCATGGAAAACAACTGAAGTGGGAGCTTCTTAATTCACTTTTATAGAGTTAAATCCAAATTATCTACTACTAGCTTAGAATTTGAACAAATTTAGGGTTGGAAAGTAGGTGCCTGAGTTATACTAGGAACTTGGCTATTTTGATGCAAGCTATTGAGAATATTTATGATGCTAGTTACTCATTTTAATGTATAGATTTTCTTGGATGTTAGGATGAAGGAGGAGAAGAAAAAAGCAGAAAGATGACTCTGTACAGTAGAAATTAGATCTAAAATTTGATTTAATTGTACTTTTGTTATATTTCTTAGCATAGCATATTTTACATGTTTCTTCCTACACTAGTCCTTCTGTGCTTTTCATAAGTTATCCTTAGTACCCACCAAATACCTCTGCTCCTTCCTTTTGAAGTTCTGTTTTCTCCTAAATGGGCCCATTTATGAAGTGCCAGTAGCGTGGTCACTTTAGGCAGAAATGTGTACAAATCAGAGATGTCAGGACATGTGAAATAGAATTTGTTCGATGGTTGTGCCTCATATATGAAAAGTCATCCTGAATTCTCTTGTCAGAATAAATTTCCAAGCTGGGTGTGGTGGTGCACACCTGTATCTCAGTGCTTTGGGTGTTGAGGCAGGGAGGATCACAAGTTTGAACTTAGCTTGGGGAACTTGGAGACTTAGCAAACCACTGTCTCAAAATAAAAAGAGGCGGGGGATGTAGTTCAGTGTGAAGACCCTGTATTCAGTCTCTAGCACCACGGTAAATAGACAGATTTCCTCTTGCATATTTCCTTAAAACTGTACTAATCTGTTACTGGTAGTTGCCCTGGACATTTGCTGTGCAGAGTGTCTTCTAGGCATTGGCTTACCAAAGAGTAATTATTGTCTAGATATGTATTTGGGTTTTTCAACTCTAGATTTGACTGGGACTTGAGGGTGACCTGAAGTTTGTAATTCAGGGTTTTGAAAGCATTAATATAAGTGTTTGGAGCTCTTTTTGGTTTCAGAAGCTTACTGTGATTAAATTGCCCTATGGTAATCGTTATAGGACAGATGCTTAATTTTTAGAGCACTTCTTTATTTTTCAGCCTTTGCAAAATGTTAGCACAGTGCTGCAGAAGCCTAATCCTCTCTATAATCAGAATACAGATATGGTCCAGAAATCAGTCAGCAAAACCCTGCCTTCTACTTGGTCTGACCCCAGTGTAAACATCAGCCTAGACAACTTGCTACCTGGTATGCAGCCCTCCAAACCCCAGCAGCCATCGCTCAATACCATGATTCAGCAACAGAGTAAGTTACCTCAACACATTCAGTTTTGTGTATTTGCAATCTTTTGCCCTGGTGCCAGGACTGCTTCAAGCATTGAAATAAAAATACCTAACAAAAGGTGTGGTGAAGTACAGTTGATTGTGTATTTACTTCAGTTCTTTTTGGGTGATGGTCGCTTGATATCCCTTGTCTTGCCTGGCACACTGACTGACTGTATTCTGGTCATGGCATGATGATACCATTCGTTGTATTATGGTGAGTTTTGGTAGCCTGACCACTAAAATAAAAATATTTGCCATACAGTCGTTTTTTAAATAGTGATAGAAAAATCATTTAAATTCTACAGTCTAGGGATAATCACTATTTTTTTCTATCTTTTTAAAGCATATTTTTAATGTGTGGGATCATTCTGTCTATATTTTGTGTCTTTTCTCATTCAGCATTAAATTATAATTTTTCTTACGTTGAATATTCTTAGGAAACAGTGATTTTTATGTTTTTATAGTTATCCATTATATAAGTATTCATTTCTTTTGGTTATTTAAATTGTTTTTAGCTTTTTGTTACTGGAAAGTAGTTCCATCATGTTGTATAAATCCTTGTATTTGAGTTTTCCGTAGTATAATGTTCTAGCGATAGCCAGAGGATATAAACTTTTAAGAATTTTGATAGACACTAGGTCATAACAATATGTTAGATAAGATTCAATGATATTTTGTAGCAATATTTTAGGGTGATATGTTTCCCACTCTTAAGTGTTTTTACATCTCTGAAACCAGTGTCAACAGCTACCAAATATTACTGAAGAACAAGCAGTGTAGCTGGGCATGGTGGTACATGCCTGTAATCCCAGTATTCGGGAACCCAAGACAAGGAGGGTTGTGAGTTCAAGACCAGTCTCAGCTACAAAGCCAGAGCACCCCGGACTACACAGCAAGACCCTGTCTCAGAAATCAAAATAAAAAATGGAATGAGTGCTGATTCATTGACTTTTCTTATAAAATCTGTAAAGGAATTTATTGGGACTAGAAGTATTGGTGTTAAAGAAATTATACTATTTTTCTGTTCAAACAATCCTGAGATTGTTTGGTAAAGTTCTTTTGTCTTTTCTTCTGGTAGATATGCAACAGCCTCTGAATATGATGACTCAAAGTTTTGGAGCCGTGAACCTCAGTTCTCCATCAAATATGCTTCCTGTCCGGCCACAAACTAACCCTTTGCTGGGGGGACCTGTGCCTCTGAGCATGCCCAGTGTGATGACTGGCACCATGGGAATGGCCCCTCTTGGAAATGCTCCAGTGATGAACCAGAGCATGATGGGCATGAACATGAACATAGGGATGTCAACTGCTGGGATGGGCCTGACAGGCACGATGGGAATGGGCATGCCCAACATGGCCATGACGTCTGGAACTGCGCAACCTAAGCAAGATGCCTTTGCAAATTTCGCCAACTTTAGCAAATAGGAGACTGTAAAGAACGGATTGAATGAAGAATTTTTAGCTGGGCAGATAGGTGATATTGGGATGGAAAATGCTAATCAGCTCCCCTTTCTTTTATCAGTTAATTGTAATAAACACACGTAAAGAACCAAAAAAGCTGTTTTATAAAAATGAAGTATCTAGTATTTCAGACCAAGCAAGAGCACTTCAGGTGAGGCAGTCAGAATAATTTTTCTCAGAGAGGATAGATCACAAATAGGGCGACGAGACCCCTGAAAGCCTTTATAAACTGAAAGAGTCCCTTTAACATCACTGGTGGGAAGGTGGGAATAGGGCTGAATAAATGTGTTTGAATCTCTAATTTTATACTTTACTTTTCCTGAGGAACTTGATTTTTCTGTCCCTGAATCACCTTGTCATAATTGGGTCTGTTCCTTTTACTACCCTCTTGAGTCCATATATGAAATCATTAAAGGTGGATGATCAGTTTTTTATAAAAATAATATATTTTTGTCCAAAAAAGGCATACATACGTGATTATGGCTAAATCAAAGGTAACTGGAATGTATATACTTTTGCTAATGTTCCAGGAACACTGCTGTTATACTGTCCAAATTTTTATTATAACAAAACCTCTTTAAAGCAATTGGTGATCACTAGGGGACGTTTCCCATGTCTTCTGCTATAATGATCTTGTGCAGAACTAGGAAAAAAAATTTTTTTCAGGACTGCTGTATGGTTTCCTTTAAAAGAAGAAGGAACAACTTCCAGTATTTTTTGTTTGTTTTTTGTAGTCATTATTTACAATTTGCAGTGATTCACTTGGCAAGGCTTCCTTCTGTGTTTATCCTGTAGCCATCACTTAAGCCAGGAATAGTCAAAAAAGAAAAATATTTATTTTTATCTTTTTTGTTGTCTTTTCAAAAAATTGAAAAGGTGAAAATCCATTGAAACTTTTAAGTTAAAGGTTAGAACTCAACAATGTTCACTTTTAGATATTATACAGTATTTGTTTTGTTTTGGTTTTGAGTGTATATAATATGTCATTAGCAATACAGTTCCACTAGAAAGGAATTAAATATATATTATTAAAGGAGACCTGTAGCAGTCAGAGATTTTATTGATTTAAGGACAAATAAAGGAAATTAAAATGTTTCTGTTTTCCTGCTGTAATTCTACATTAAGCTCACATGAAAATCATGGTTTTAGAGTTTGGAATGCAAAATTATTTGTTTCAACCTCAAGCTGGGAATATTTTTAAAAATAAATACTATAATATAGGTATCAAATTATTACCTCCCCACTTTATGTTGAAATTTTTTTATTAAATTGATAAAACTTTGTTTCCATTGTATTCATAATCTGTTATACATAACATTAAAATGTTCATTAAAATCAATGTTGAACTGCTTTTTTTTTCATTCTGTTAGACATTTGAGACCATTTGGGGAAAAAATAATTATAATTTGGGCAAAGTAATTTTTATAAATAATTCAAAATTATTTAATGACTTCTCTATTCTTTCCTATCAGGCCCTACTGTTAGGAATTAAAAATGAAGCAGCAAAGAAATCCTGACCTGCTCCAGTCTTGCTAATGTTCCATCTACAACATTTCTAATTAGGCAGAAATTCATGTACTTCAGCTAAGTGGTAATGAAAAGTGATTCATTTGCTGAATAAGAGATGAGAGAGAGTGTAATTAGCTGACTGCGGTTTTTAATCTTTCAACAATTCAATGTGTTTAAATTAGTTTCAAAGAATAGGGGCTTTCAAGTGTTGTTACTTCAGAGCTATCAAGCCAGCCTCTGGTGGCAGCATGGTAGAATAGCTTCACTTGTATTTAAAACCTGTAATCTTAAGTTTTTTCTTAAAATTGACAAATGTATGTCTACCTTTTTATATATACATATATGTGCATATATAATATGTATGACTAACACATGATTATATATAATCATATATATGATTCTTGGAAGTATTTTATATCGGAACATTATGTTTACACTTTTTATAATAAGATTTCTGTCTAAAGCATTTTCCAGGGCCTGCTTATGTATTTCAGGATACACAAGATGGCCCCCCTTTTTTATTGAACCGCAGCATACAGTTTACTATCTTACCAGTGTTTTTTGCTTTAGAGTCCTCAAAAGAGAAAAGCCTACAAGTTGCGTTCATGAAGGCCTGATTTAATTAGTCTTTGAAGGTATGACTGATGGCTACTTGGAAGAAAGACAAAATCCCAAAATCATTTGGAACTGGCAGGAAGTCATATTCCGTTACCACTGAACTCCTTTCCGCCTCTCTGCCCTTTCCTTTTTCAACCAGAGCTTTTCTCTTTGTGCCTATTTCATATTTTGACTGATATAAGCAGGGGAAGTTCCTGTTTACAGTTCACCTATGATAGATCCACATACTCATCTTTATTTCTGTCTCTATATTTGTTTTTACTTCTCTGAAAGCTTCAAAAAACCATGCTCCTGTGCAGTGTTTTGGTCAGGTGCTTTTCAGTTTTGTTTAAAACTCCCTAATGAGTCAGGGCCTATAGTTTATTTAAAGAGAAGCATTAGTCCTTTGTCCTCGAATACTTATGAAATGGTGGTTTCCCTAGGTGAATGTACCTTTCAGAACTTGACATTTGTCTTACAAACATCAGTCTTCATGATATAGTTTTCTAACTAAGACATTCAGAAATAAAATCTGTATTAGGCACAAAACACACCTTAGGTTCAGTGACCTTCTGAAATAAAGTGGCTTTATGTTTCAGTTCCTATGGGCTGTACCACCACACTGGGGAAAGAACATGTACTTGGAAGCAGGTGAAAGCCCATTTCACCCACCTGCTGTCTGTGTGAGCTTGATCAGTTTACCTGGGCTTCCTGGGCGGTGGTACATTTTTCCTAAAATGAATGTAAAAGTCCTGAGGTGTTGGGTAATTAAATGACACGATGCGTGAGAGCCATCAGCACTAACATGCGCTGTAAAAGTTTCTCTCCTCCCATTTTTTGTTAATGTCAGTGTGCTCACATACCAGCAGCTGTGTTTGTGCCAGTCACTGTGCTGAACATCTCACATGAATGTCTAATCTGCACCGCAAATCGAAAGTTCGTACTCCTGCATTATTGCTAAAAGCGGAGTGCACTACCAAAGCCTAGGAGATTGCTCTGTGTTCTCTAATTGAGTTTACTGGCTATGTGATTTTAACTTTTTTTTTTAACTGGCAAGGAAATTGTTAATGGATTGTTTCGGCTGGCATCTACTTACACGTTAGTACAGATGTGGGGGATAGAACTATTAAACTGAGCTCTAGATATGTGATTTGCCACACAAATGACTCATTAAAACGTTCGTAGTTTTTATAAGTGTAGAGATCTTACCTTATTATTGACTGAATTCTTGCAATTTTGTTGCTCAAGATCTTAACTGTTCTTCTAATACCCAGATAAGCAATCAGTAGACAAAATCCATGAAGGTGGGGCTTTTGCTAACCTTTTACTCAACACAACCTTAATTGTGACTTCTTTAGTAATGGCAGCCTTGCTAGTCCCTTGTTCCCTCACAGACATAAATGACTCCTGCTCCCCTTCACGCTGGTCACCCGAGTTGGTGGGGAATGTGTACCCAATTCAGAGGCTTAGCTTTCCAGGGGTTTGGGAATCATTCATGTCCTGGTAGCCAGAAGTGGATTTCATTTCTTACTCTTTGAATAGCTCAGTTCCGATCTGTGAAGCTCTTCTTGTCCATTCATTTTAGAGTTGTGTTATTTCTCCACGCTTTTCTCTATGAGATAGGAGTGCTCAGGGTTGGTATGTGGAGCCATTTGATCTCAAGACTGTTTACAGCCGTAAAAACTGAGACCCCCCCCCAGAGAACTTTTGTTTATATGAGTTATATCAATATTTACTGTATTTAAAATGAAAGTTGAGAAGCTTTAAAGATATTACTTGGTTAACAAACCATTACATGTTAACATAAATTGTAATTTTATAAACTAATTTTTCCAAAATAAAACTTTGTGAGAAGAGTGGCAGTGTTTTATATTTTTACAAATCTCTCTAGTAGCTGGCTTAATAGAAATGGCTGGGTCCTCTATTTCTGCTTAGAGTCTGCCGTGGTAAGTTGTTTGGTGGAATATGTTGTATATGGAAATAATCCAGTCTCTGGGATAAGTAGTTGGAAATGGTGTGACCTTCTAGCTCTTTAAAAGATATCTCAGGACCCCTCGGTGGCCCACAGTCTGCATTTGGTGAGCTGTTCTATGAATTATACAATAAGATTATTTCTTAGTATGATGGATAATAGATCTGTTTACTTGATTTATTCCTATGAGGTGATCTGCTTGGGATACAAAGAACCTATTTTGCCTTTCAGTGGTTGTCAGTAAATGCTTACTGCTCTCTGGACACTAAATCTAAAAATCTGTGACACCATAGCATTTTCTGTTTCGTGATTATTCAGATATGCAGAACATATCTACTAGTTTTTATAATTATGAAGAGTGAGTTTCTTAGCTGTTTGGGGTTTTAAGTGTACACCAGGTATTGAATGCCTGCTAAATTGTAAATGTTGTATCTCCATTGAGAAGAGTGATGAAGACCTCTGACCTGTTTACAAGGAGGGGTGGCAACTTTGTGTAGTTTATGTGCCCTGGCAGACACCTCACAGAAGAGTGCTCGTGTAGAAATAGTGCCCAATCCGGAACAACCCAGCAAGCTTTCCATCCCATGAAATGGCAGTCCCAAGCCCTGGCTGGGCTTCTGGACATACTCCCTGCTCGTGACCTGTGAAACGCTGCCTTATGACAGAGTCAAAGGAAGCTTTGAAAGGGTGTTGCAGAAGGCCCCACAAACAAGAAACTTAGTGATTTTCAGGGACTGCTCAGAATCCAGGGTCAGCTGTTAGTAAATACACTTGGCAGGTTTTTATCATGGAAAGAGGAAGAGGATTCCAGGCAGACTTCCTCATTGCGGAACTTTGGAAACTAGTAGATACAGAATTTTCCCTTAATGATTGAAGCATTGAATATGTGACCTTTTGTGTCTGATAATTTCTGACTTAAATGCAACTAAAATATACATTGAGGACTATGTTCCAGTATTTAGATTTTTTTCATATTTTCTTTTTAGTCATCAAGAATTAATACCAAAAGAAACCCAGCAGTTCTAACGATGAGATGCAGTGAGATTGCAGTGTTGTGATGGACCATCAAACCAGTGGACCACCACCCTAAATTTTCTTTGTTGTGTTTATCCATATTCCTGTGCTTACCGCCTGCACTACCTCAAGTTGTGTGCTGTGGTGATTTCTACAGGAACCTGTAAGATCACCACGTGGAAGAGTAGGTGGGTCTGAAGAGTTAGGAAGGGGCAGAGACAAGCTGCTGCTGGAAAAGAATAGGAGGAATTTAGGTAGTGTCACTGGGATGGTCCTTTCTGGAAAGGGAGGTTTTTCACAGGGAATAAGCAATGCAAGCCAGAGGAAGTCAGTTAGCCCTGGACACCTGCATATATAAAAAGCAGAAAAAGAACTGTCAAAGGTCTAATAGGTGTAAGTGGGCCTTCATATTTAAAAAGTAGAGTAGGAGATAGAGGCAAGGATGTGCTAATAATTGGTATTTAGGGTGTTAAATAATTACTTCACTGTCCTGAGACGTTCCTTGAGAACTATCACCAAAAATGGAATGTTCCGAAGGTATTGCTTACTATCTTTGGTGCAGTTATCATAGGGCTCTTTTACTTGGACTTTAAGAACTTGAGTGTAGCTGGGCATGGTGGTATCTGCCAATAGTCCCAGCTACTCAAGAGGCTGCAGCAGGAGGATCACGAGTTTGAAACCAGCCTAGGCAATTTAGAGAATTAGCAAGACCCTATCTCAAGAAGGCATGGGCGTGCAGTGCACTTCAAGGACCCACGGTTCAATCCTCAGTGCCATGTAAACAAATGGAAAATTGTATGGCAGTATTCTGATACTTCCTAGCAATGCTCAAGTGCATTCATAGTTATTTAGATGTGTAAGGTATGAATTACTTGTAAAGGGCCACATAAAAGCAAGTAGATATTTTAAGTAACTTGCACTTGTTTATTTATCGAGTGAATTTACACTCATGTCTTCCTTAATTTGTACAATAGTCCTAAGCTAAGAAGGTAGGACAGTTATTATCCCCTTGTTACAGATGAGGAAACAGGTTTTAAGAGATCAAGGTAGCTAAGGAAGCCAGCCCTGGGACAGATCTCTGGAATTCAAATCCAGGTTCATCCCATTGTCCTTCATTACTCCTGTATTAATATTCCAGACCTTCCAATTTAAAGGTTGCACATGATGTGCAGATAAATGGTCAGCTCTTTCTCCCCTATCCCTGAGCTCTGGCCAGTTTGTCCCCAAACCCCATGTAGTGTTCCACA